GTAGCCGCGCCCAAGAGTCATAATCTTATTGGTACATTCCCTAAATATTGATTGTTGAAATATATACTTGAGTCATTTGGGTGATGACATCTATACATAAAAACACAAAAAAGGAGCTTAGGTAACTCAATTAGTTATCAATCATCGATTAGAAATATATCTATTTATCCGAAAATGTTCATCCCTAGAGAGCATTTCGGTTGGGCTTGGGCTTGGGCTTGGGCTTGGAGTGTCCTCGGGATTTTACGAGTTTGAGGTTTGGACAAATTTGTCAGTCGTCCCAAGGCTCTGCCTCATTGCCATTTAGGGACATGATTGTCGATCATGAGATGATAAGGGAGTAACAGGAAGTGTACTCGCGTAATACTGTAGGACGTGCAGAAATTACCCATGTCAGCGCCGTATTGGCCAAAAGGTCTATATTGGCAAATTTTTAGAACTGAATTGATCGAATTAAAATGTTTCGAACTGAATTGATATCTGTACAGTGTCTTTAGGACTTTTTTGATAATTATTCCTATAAGACTCTTGTTCTCTCATTAAAGTTAAGTATCAAATCATATAATATAATGAATACGGTGACGTTAGAAAATTTCCAAACTCCAACGTAATTTCACAACGCAAACACCCCTCGCTCTCGCTCTCTCTCTCTCACACCTAAAATAGCCCAACCTCCTCCAACACCACCTCCACAAACACCTTCACTGCTTCCGTCGCCTCATCTTCGCCGTCTTCATCGCCCTCTTCTTAGTGGAGTCCAAAGACGCCACCACCTCCTACATCTTTCTAATTCGGTCTCTTCTCCGAACGCTCTCCCCCGCTTTTGCAGGCATCATCCGTCGCCATGTCCGGCGAACGAGCCTCCGAGACCACCTCACTCGACCTGACAGACCCCTCTCCCAGTCTAAAGATCTCTCTCTTTTCAATCACCATCGACTCGACGACTACCACCACCGGCCAGATCTCGTCAACTGCAACAAGATCTGGCTCATCACAATCCACTACAACTCAGCCAGCCAAGTATGGTCCTACGCTACCAACGAGGCTCCAGAGTTCAATTTAGAGATATAACGTGACATCAAACCACTAGATCGAGCGTCGTGTTGATTGCAGAGGTGCGATGTTCGCAGCTATCGGCATCGGTGGTGTTGGAGATGCCAAGTATACGCAACGAGCGGTATCACTGCCCTAGCGTGTGTTGTAGCAGGGAAGAGAACCGGCCCACGCATTTGTGTAATGGTGCGTTCTTATTGCGCACAACCCGTTTAACCAGACATACATGGTGCTGAAAATTTAGACAAAACGCCTACCTAGTGTTGGATTGCCTAAGAACCGGTAGCGGTAAGCTTCTTCTCCATTGCACTTCTTTTTGGAATCGCGATCGGGCGGTCTCCAGATCAGTTTCGTGCACTTTGACTGGTCCACCTGATCCCCAAGCAAGAAACTCTGTGGTGAACTATATGAATCTCGTCACACAAGGAAAGGATTGATTTTCCTCTAGAGAGAGTGGAAGACTTAAGAAGTTCAGCCTTCCAAGAACCAATTCATCGTTTTAAGCATCGCATGGTTGGAGGATGGTCGGCCAATTACTCTAGGGACTCATGGTCCCTTAATTCATTAGCCGCACCACATAAGCAACAAATACAAGATCAATAGGGAAATTCCATGACAATCGTCCAAAGAGTTATAAACCTATTGTATGGCGGCCTATTCAGTCCTAAACATATCAATTATGTCCATTTAATCTTAGACTTTTTGACAATTTGCCAATTTAGTCCGAAACCTTTTTGAAGATTCGTCAATTGTTGACGTGGACATCGGACATCCTCCGTGGCATAACCGGCAATGACATTGATTTTTTAAATTTTTTTTAAAAAATTCTATATAAGGAAAAGAACAAGCAAAAAAAGAAAGGAGAAAATTCAAAAAAATATTAATAAAATATAAAAATTATTAGCGTTGGTGCTCGCTACACCATGTAGACCAACTGATGTCCATGAATAGTAATTTCCAATCAAAATTGATCGGAAAGACTATATTGATAAATCGTCAAAAGGTTTAAGAATAAATTGTCACAATTAAAAAGTTTACGACTAAATTAGCTATCGTATAATAGGTTTAGAATTTTTTGGACAATTATCCCAAGAATATAGGCACTCCTTGATACTTCTTGGTTTAAAAAAAAAGGTGATTACAAAAAAAAAATTATCTCTCCACGAAAGTTCCCATCATTGACGGCAATGAACATAGTCATTTGCAATTAAAGTGCTTTTCCATATGGTTAATGATGCTTCCCACCAAAACAAAAAAACTCCATGGCAAAAATGCAATGGGTTCGTGAAAATTTATAATTTTTTTCTCGTTGCAACAATTAATTGTCCATGGCTATTGTATGAATGACATTTATAAATTTGTCATACTTCTTTTTAATTTTCACCAGACGGGTATATATCATCATGTGCTTAAAAATATTCGTGACAAAATTTGTCATTATCATGTAAAAATCTCAAAAAAATTATTGTCGTAGATTCACTTTTCTTTTTTTTGCTATGAGTCGTACATTTACATTAACTACATTATAAATGAGTAAAATCTGTCAAACAATATAACTATTTTGAGACTGACTATAGGACTTTTGTTATTAATAATTCATGATATCTGTCAAAGAATCAAAAGAGCATTATATTCATTTATGTGAATTTAAACATTGTTATATATTAGGTGTATATGTGGTAACCGACATGTTACATCCTTAATAGACAAAAGCAAATGTACAAAAAAAAAGTTGAAGAATTTTATGCGAGGGCATGTGTTTTGTACGTGTATAATACACTTTACCCTAAGAGAGCGAATAATTTTTTAAATTAAGCAAACATGCGGGAGACGGAAAGTTTCTAATAGAAAGCACTTACACCCGCTTTATACCATTTTAGCAAAGCAAAAATATTCTTTATGTTACTAACCACGCATATTGTTCTACCTCAGCTTTGACCAGATTCACACATACACAAGCATATATATGTAGTATGTATATCATCAAATGAAATAAATTAAACATAGAAAGCGTATAACATAAATTTGAAAATGAACTTTATACTTTACAAACATATATTAGCGTAATGTATGACGCCCATCCATGCGGTCGACTGATGATACATCCATTCCTCGCTCCACAACCACCATTGCGAAAAGGCTAAAGCATTAGTATATCAACCACTAATTAACAATAACATTCCCAGTTCATATTCCAAAAAAAAAAAAAAGAAACGTATAACATTTCCCAACAAATAGTGCTAGTACATTATACTCAATTCGAGGCTCAAACTTAGGCAACTCCTAACTTAACATGTTCCACGAAATTAGTTCGCTTGAAAGCAGTTGATCGGGACATTACAAACTGTTTCGGGACCATGGACTCTCGTGTCGTAGAAAACATTTAGAGTGTACGTTTCCTGAGCATAAGAATCAATTGAAAACACAGTAAATATTGTATGTTACATATGGTCGTGCCATTACAACAAGTATTGTCCTTCGTGCGAGCCCAGATCTAAGGTGTGCAAAACGTTAATCTCACAACGGCAAGTAACGACATAGAAAAATTGCGGGATTAATCACTCTAGGCTCACCGGCATACACTTCGCATGGATGGAGCATGCAGCTAGCCTAGTCACAATATGGGCGAATATGTTCATCCTTTTCAAAGCGCCATAAATGTAAACCCTTTTCATTTACCTATGAAACCTCAGAGCAAGGATCCAGAAATCAACTGCAATCATTTAATAAATCACCTATTCTATAACAAATCATGCCAAATACATATCGAAAAATCAATGAGATTCGCATCATTTCTATAAAAGAAAAACACACTCTTACATGTATTAATCACACTGACATACATTGCTGAATTTTACTGACTGCTTTTTGAACAGCCGCCGTAATAGTCAGTTGAAACTACAAATTAGCCACTAGAAGATTTTCTTTTTCTACCCACGTTTTGTCCTTTTAAATGGAGCTGGTAATTTAGACAGAAGCACGTCTACTCATGGCAATGCTTTACTCATGTCTCCTGCCCTTTGAAGAGTTCAAAACGCCATCATTTTTCTTATCGTTTCCTTTGCTTGTCCTAGCTTGCACATGCAGCTTCAGCATCAATATCCTGTCGAAAATCTGATTTGATTAAGCTAATTACTCCTTATCTGTTCGCGTGACTCCATAGAAACCCTAGCTCTACAGTCACTTCGACATCTTTCTTTTTTGATTTAACAGGCTTAAAAGTTAATAGGCTTGTCATAGATCCCTATGGTGGAATGTTTACATGGGTTTTGCTCCCCCATGTAGTGGCGAAAAAGACTTTTATCTTTTACATATCTAATCGTGTGCACACCAACCATCGCTCTGGACCACCACACCACGTCTAATCTGATTTTACCCTTAATAGTTTAACTTGTTTTTTTCAAAATTATATGCAGATTTGTTATATCACTAACATAATATGCTTCATCTCTTGAAATGTACTGATTTGAATCTATTAGGATTGGTCCAAGGTTCTTTTTGATAATCTAATCAATGGCTGAAACTCAAATTATTCAACACTGAACAATATTAAGCACATCTGTTAACATTAACAAGCTTTGACTAAAAGAATTCAATCAAGTGAAAATTGACTTATAGTCATGTAAGCAATGAGCCACTTCATTCCCGCCGTAGAAAATTAGGATATTTGCAATTACATTACTGTAATTGCAGCTACATATAATATCAATATTTGAAGAAACTAGTAATGCTCGACTTCTAGACATTATTACATGACAATTCGTTTTCATTTTTCATGAGTTTGTCCCCACTTCAAATCTAGTGTTTAAATTCTGAGCAAAGCCCTAAGTAAAGCTCCTGTCGGATTATCTCAGCGATAAAGCACTCCAATCGGGTCCAGTCACCCACCACTAAACGAGCCGTACATCTTCATCGCAAGAGTGTGCAATCATCTGCTCTCTCTCTCTCTCTCATATGTGCACTGAAGAGATAAACAGTCCACATGAGTGTCGCTCTCAGCCATTCCTTCTCTCTGCACACCCAGGTGAGCCTGGAAGAGGATAAAAATGGGTCCTGAGAGGTCACTCTTACAAGGCCAACGGACTCTCTGTATCTTTCTTTGACAAAATCTATGGTTCTTTGGTTTCTTTCTGTTCAAAAAGTTCTCCAAGAACCCACAAACACAGATACACACACACAAACACACATTATGTTCCCATCCATGATGACCAACAGCAATCCCAACCCTCCTCTCTATCTTCTCTCTCCATCACTCCCCAATACCTCATCTGCTCCCACAAACCAAGAAATGATCAACCAAACCATCCTCTCCCACAACCAAATGCCGTTCACAGATCATCACTTCTTCTTGCCCAACAATCACATTTTCCCCCTAATTACTGAAGCTCCAATTGACATGGGGAGTCCTAAAAATGGTGGGAAAGTTAGCTCATTACTTCCAGCTAAGAAACCCCTGAAGAAGGACAGGCACAGCAAGATAATCACCGCACAGGGCCTCCGGGACCGGAGGGTGAGGCTCTCGATCGAGATCTCGCGCAGGTTCTTCGGCCTCCAGGACATGCTAGGGTTTGACAAGGCGAGCAAAACCCTAGAGTGGCTCCTTACGAAGTCAAGGAAGGCCATCAAGGATCTGGCCAAGGCCAAGTGCAAGGGCTCGGTCTGCAGGCTCGTCGACGATGAGAAGGGCTGGTCTTCTTCTACTTCCGAGTGCGATCAGGCTGTGTCGACAAGGGTTGTGATCGCTGAAAATGGCATAGTTCCTATGGATGAGAAGAGGTCAATGCTAGTAGGAGACAGTGACCACCAAGGGAAGTTTAAGATGGTGTCATCAAATCGAGATGGTGGGCTTCATGTTTTTGCTAAAGAGTCTAGGGTAAAGGCAAGGGCTAGGGCAAGGGCTAGGACCAGAGCAAAAATGAGCAACAACAACACAAGGCTTGATCACCATGACCAGTCCAAGAAATTTTTATGCCCTGATTCGCAGGTCGCTAGTGAAGACAAAAAATCAAATCATCATGTTCAAGCACAAGCTGATCACCAGGCATTCAGTGACCATCAGGAGGAGGTTGATATTGAGCAATCTGTTCTGATCAATAGGAAGCTGAAGCAAAGTTCAGTCATCATTAATAATTTCCAGAAAAACCTAGAATTTGTTGGGAAAGATATGATCTGCAACATTGACAACAATAGCCAATTTTACGACTACGATGTAACTCATCAGAACTGGGACATCAACCCCGCAATTGCTCGATCCACCTTTTCTGCAGTCACCAACATGAACTTTTCATCAGGTAATTTACTTTTTTCCGAGAACAGAACAATCCCCTTACTAACTTTAAATTTTGTGTATTTTATTCAGTCAGATTTTTGTGCGGGCTTCATTTTTTATTTTGTTAAAATAAAATTACAGGGGTTCTGGTATGTGGAAAGCAATGGGATTCTCCAAACAGCCATTGTCTACTATAATAAAGGGCGATACATGAACCTATGTAAGTTGTGGAAAGTTCTGATCCTTTCTTCTTCTTTTTTCCCTTTTTTGCCTCATTGAGCTCCTTTTGCTTCGTTATCCTAAAATTTTCTACCATCAAGTTGCTTAATGAAAGTTATATGCGGAATTATGTCTACCTAATGAGGGGTAATCCTGAATCTGAATCTGTCACGATTCTCTATATTGTATATGATTCTCTATATTGTATAACATATTGAAACTGGTTTAGATTCTTGGTTAAACCATCAAGATTCTGCAGAGAATGCAACTTCATGAAGCTTTCCATGTTGCTGAAGGGTCAAGGGTTCTCAAACCTAAATCAAATTGAGTTTTGTCAAACAGAATTAAAGGGACAGACATAAAACAATATACATCTCCATCTTAAAGGAACAAATCAAGGTTGAATTTTTGTTCAAACTGACTCAGCAAAAAGATTACAGCATCTAAAGATTTTAGATTTACCCATGTTTTGTGACTCGAATATGTTGCACGTTGTATAGATTATTACTAACCGTGCACATCTGGAGTTTGGAGTGATCTGATCCATCTTACTCTAGTAATGATACCCTGGGTTGGCTTCTAAAACTGTATCTGGCATCTAGTTTACTCTTAAGTGTTTCCAGCTCAGAGTAATTAACCGAGCCTCGCGTGTCGGCCTCTTCCTCGAGCCTTACTTGAAGCATGTAATGGGATGGTTTGCAAACAAATTTAGGGATTAGTCATGCCGAAGTCTAACATACACCATGTTGTCGAAAAGAAAATCTCTAGATATGATCTTTCAATCTTGGAACAAAGACAGACAATAAAGAAATTCTTCTACCTAATTACATGCCTGATGACAGAAATGTGTACAACTTTTGAATGTTCACAACTGAGATTTCTATGAGAAGATCACATTGTTTTAGGCAATAGTAACTTAGAAATCCAACATAGAATGTCATTAGACAGTTTCAATGCTTTATTCACTCTCCGAGAAAATCACATTGTTGATGGGCACATTTCATGTTTCACTTACCTTCTGTATTATACAACCATCTTGCCCTGTCATTCAGAAAATGATTGACAAATTTGGAAGTACCTATACCTGATTAGAGGGGACCACCACAGAACGCGACCTACTTTCTTTTTTATGTTTGGGCCATCAGTGACAGGTATTGTTAATTGTAAGTTATTAGCACCAAATATATGAACTTAGATCATTGTTAGAACTGATAATTAGGTACTTAAATAATAAATAAACCTTTGTGCTCTTCAATACTAGGCTGTGATGAATTTGAGTCTGAATCGTCACGGTATAATATAGGCAAGTGCTTCTCAACTAGATTATGCACTTCTCCATTACTTGAGTCGAACTTAATCAAGCTCAACTTCTCATGCTCTAGATGAGCTTTTTCAGTAAGTTACAGCCTGTCATGACATGACTTGACTTAAGGATAACCTTCAATCTAAGTTGAGTCTTGATTTCATATGGCTTAAAGTACATGTTTTACAAAACAATACCAATAAGTACTTTCAAATACATCAAATACTTACATGCAATTAGAATTTAAAAAAGTCCAACTACTTAATTGGGTTGGAGATCCCTTTTATTGGGTGTTTTCCATATTCATGCTCAATACTCATTAAGTACCCAAGCTCACAACTCGAACTCAAGAAGATTTGAGTCAAAGAGATTTAGGAGTGAAGTTCAAGTAAACTCACAAATAGCTTAACTTGATTAGACCACTACTTTACATACTTCGAGAGTAAAAAATGCATTGGAAATCCTAACACTCGTATAGGAATACAATCGAGTCCTAAAACTTTTAATTAATTCGATTAAATTTTATATTTTCTTTTCAGGAAGTGCAATCAAGTTCTTTCGATATATAATATTTAAGATTGCCTACATGTCACTTAAAAAAGTGCCTATCTTGGCAAACTTAAATTAGACTTCTTAACAAAATTTTTAGGACTTGCCCTTCGTAATAAGGTTTAGAACTCAATCAAAGCACAATTGAAAGGTTCAGGAGTCAATAGCACTTTTTGGTAAAAGTTTATGACTTGAGTGATCAACTAAAAAGTTTAGAACTCTATTCATTCCGTGGATAAATTTAGGACTCGTGGGGCAATTTTTTCCACCACAAACATCATATATGCAGAACAATCATTTTTTTTAAGAAAAAGTAGTGTGTGAGAAAAGCAAGCCACCTGTTTACGTAATTCACTATTAAAAAAAAAGGGAATCATGTTGGGTGAGACGTTTTTAAATCCAATTTTCTTGGGATAAACATATTCCGATATTGGTAATCTAATCTGATGATGCTGATCTAAGAGAAGTATAACAAATATTATGTGCTTACTGTAATCTAGACCTAACCAATGGAGGTTTGCACGTAGGACCGGCTTAAAAATCCTTTTGTTAGACTCGTCCATGCTTAAAACTTATTTCTGTGTTGATTGGGCCAAGGTTGCCGGAGTTCCGAGCCCAAGAAGGAAATTGTTTGCTCAAGCCCTTTGTCTTTTGGGCCGATTGATCATAGGCGGCCTCGTTCACTCGTTAATCATATCTACTATAAATTTAATCTTCTAAATCATGCGGCATTTACTATGTTACGGACGGATTAGTTTCTTCGTATGTTTGTCCTTAGATCATGCAATTAAGTACGTTCAAGCCATCATTATTGCTTGACACATTACTCTCTACACAAATTTTAATAAAAAGGTGTTATGATCCTACTTGCAGGGAATGAGATTTGGATCCACAAGACGGTATGGGTCTCCTATGTGTGGAATATTGATCTTTGGCTCACCCACCCCAATAGCTAGATTTTGGGATGGGATTCTCCTAAGCCGCATATCAATTAGTATCGCAATCTACAAAATTTTCTTTGTCACATTTATCAATGTGTGGATATCTATAATAATCAGATGTATTCATTTAGATGTTGAATATTTATCTAGGTCAAGCTACCGTTCAAAATCATTAGCTCGAAATTATCATTTTTAGTTTTTCCTGTTTATCTAGATCTACATATTCGATATTTCATATATTTCATAATTCGTTGATATTTCACATATTTGGCTGTGTATCTCTTAGTAAGGTGTAGTGTAGGTCTAATCAATCATTGATACGTGATAGTCTTAATTAGTCTAGATAATAACTTTTCATCCAAAACTATTCTCTTCAATTTCAAATGGGAATTTCTTATTGGCTAAATTACAATGACATGGCATTAAACTTTGATGAACATTGCTGCACCTTGCGCATTTGGAAATTACATAGACACCCCTTAGAGAGGGATGCGAATTGAAAAACAATTGACATTTCAAAAACAAAAAATTGAAGTGGAAAGATAAGGTACTTATGTGAATGTAATCGATTGACCAAATGCACACAACGTGCCTCGCCATATAAGCCCAAGAATGAAATAAAACCCAACCGGCTTCAATTTCCAAACTCCCCCAGCAGCTCAATTTGACACTAGTCATCATAGACCACTTAAATCATGAATGATTTGTATATTGTCAACGTTTAATTCAGATCTATCTAACAATTTGTCGGACTAAACTGTTAACGGGTATTTTATGAATGATTTATTTAAAAGCTCACTTACATTTTGCCATATCACTTAATATACCAATTTTACTATACTTAGCATTGCACTTTTTTTAGAGATATCGAGTGTACTAAGATTGATTCACAAAGTTGATATATTAAGTGATGTGACAGACTGTCATTGGTTGTTGAACATGGCCCTCTTATTTATATCTCCACTTATAATTAGCCATGTCACCAATATATCAATCGTGTAGACCGATTCTAATATACCTAGCATTGCTCTCTTCCTAAGCTCAAGAATGTCAGGTAATTCTTTCTTTCAACTCTCACATTTATCAATAATAGTTAGCACGACCCTTTCATTTTCTCCTATTTGGATTTTTCCCTGTCTATTATGGACCATTAAGTCGATGGGAAGTTCTTAGCATCCCATCTTCAAGTCCTCCTCCTAAAACTATCCCCTAGCAGAAGAATTAGTATGAGGACTCTCATCAGTCTAGCAAGATTTATTTTTTACTATGGTTTTCTTGCTTTGTCTTGAACTTGAAGTTTGAAGAACTCAAATATTATGTTCTTCAGAATTTTAGTTTAAACTTAACATGAAAAAATGAAACTGGGACGTATGTCGGCATCTTATTTTTAGGAGTTTTAGGAAGTTTTATTGAATCACCTTATAGCAAAATTCACTAAATTCCAGCAACAACGAACAGAACTTTAACCCCATCGACTTCAGACCAAAAGAACACTTTCGAGATTCTTTTTTGTAAAACCACAAGGACAAATCGTTGGTAAGCATATTGCATTACGACTGAGCAAGGTACATCCTCTCTCTATGGGACCCGCATGAAATTGTCCGAAAAAAGAAAACCTAGCAATGGAGATGGGACGATAAATTTTAACTACATATGGATATATTTTTATGAAAAATATTCTGTTAATATATATATATCAATCAGCCAGTGAATGTTGACCCATCAGCCACAAAAAAACTTTTAAGTAGCAACACGTCCAGTGCTTTCTGTCTACTTATATTAATTTCATGTTTTATTAGGCGATAAATTAGGAATAGTATATTTACTACGTTAAATTTTTGTATTCGGCTTTAACCCTTTTCAATACCCAAACAAACAAATCTCTATACGCGGGGTGTTATCACTTTGGTAGAAAAAATAGAAAATTCATAACAGTTGACAGTGTTGATTATTTTAGGTAGACGAAGATATCATACTTACGAATTATTTGAGAATTGATACAAGGCTACTCCTAAACAATTATTCTGGGTTTATGTGGTATGCGCAGCTCACGTCAATTTTTTAAAATGTTCTGGATCCCATCAAGTTTATATTTAGATTTTGACTGATAATATTTGTAAATGTATGATAACGAAATCAAGCTTTATACATAAGGTGTCCGAAAGTTTTGAACGAGGCAAAGGGGTGAGCAATTTCTAAAATTCTCTTTCTTTGCCCTTATTTTAACCCAGCCTACTATTTGAGCGGGATGCTAATTGTTACCAAAAAGCAATCAATGTAACAATAAATGTACAGCCCATTGAATATTTCACATTAGGGAGTAAAGTTTTCACTATGTTCATTGCCATTAAAAGTAGGGATAATGACACCAAAAGTCCTAAAACTTATGTGCACTTTAGTCCTAATTCAATCAAATAATGCATTTAAGTCCTAAATTTTGTATACGTCCTCCAAATTGATTAGGGATGCACACCAAGTCTACGTAGGCTGGCATGGCTGGGGCAAGGTTGGCTCGAGCCTAGTTATTATTTAAAAAAATTAATATAAGCTTTTTCTAATGAAAAAATTTCAAAATAATTATTTATCAAAAGTTGAAAATAATGGAGATATTAATTGAGGAAAATTAATTAAAAAAATTATTCCATTAGACCATATTGAAATATAAGTTCATCTTTACATAAATTTAGTGATGCCGTCTAACGTAATATATTTTTTCACCGTTTTGATTGAATATTCCATTTTCAAATTAATATTTGTTGTGCATATTTAATTAAGATGGTATCACGCGGTATAAATGGTTACTTACTTTCTAGTCGCAACTCATAATATATTCAAATATTAAAACTCAATAGAATACCAAGAATAAACAATGAAAGGTTTTCACGTGGTTAAGCCAAGTGGTGTAATCACTTGCGAGTTTCACCTAATTTTATCATTATGTATAGATATAGACATAGATATAGATACATGTTGAGAAGTCAAAAGTTTACCTTCCATCCAGAAGTTTAGCTGGAACACGTCCCCATTTCGTAGTATAGCCATCTGCACAGAAATGGAAAAACTAAAAATTAGTAGGATTTCAAGTTCTATTCTTGTAAACAGAACAGGATGTTTATTTTGGAAAAAAAATATGCATATTTTGGAGATACATTAATGGGTATGTGAAAGCTATATTTAGAAGCGAGACAAATTAATTTGATTTTAAATGCATCTTAACCACATGTTTGAATCAAAACTTACGCAAATTGTGTACACTACAACCATCCTTTGACGTAGCACTACAAAAATTCGATATAATGACGAGAGAATATTTGGGGGAAATTACCAAAAAAAAGTCTTAAACCCATTGTACTTGTGCCAATTCAATCTTAAACCTTTCAATTTGACCAATTTAGTCCAAAACCTTTTGATGATTTGCCAATTTAGTTCTTCCAACCAACTTTGACCGGAAATCACTGACGTGGACGCCGATCGTCCTACATGGCACGGCCAGCACTGACGTGGACAATTTTTGTAATTTTTTTTATAATAAGTGTTCTGATATACAAGAAGATAATACTCAAATGTAATTGTTTCATCTAAAGTTGCCTAGTAGAATGTACGAAACCAATGTAATCTGTAGAATCAGCATGACTGGATAGGTTTCCGGGTGAGTATTAAGATTAAACTCCTTACGAGTTCCAAAAATTTGGGACCGTTAAGTACATGATAGGTTTCTTATAAGGTCATATCCACCCAGTACACGGTACCCTTTACCCTGTGCAAGGTACCCTGCAACAAAAATATAAGGTACTCAACAATATTTGAAAATTGTATATTTGTACTGAATAGGTATTGTAATTACAATTTTCTTGATAAGCTTATCGGTCGATGAAATCGTCGGACTATATGATTCCTAAAAAAAAGGCATGATAGCTACTTTTTTTCTATACATCTAGATATATATCGTTTGTACACATCTTCTCTTTGTTTCCCGAACCTATAGTGAGTTACAGACAAAGTTCGAAGGGTCATAATTCATGAGCTAACCCTACAACTAAAATAGATAAAAATATTTTCAATATGTGTATTGTTTTGATTTTCTTACAAGTTATTATATAAACTGTTAAAGTCATACCATAATATGAAAAACACATTGTCTATACTATAGTTTAACAATAGTACGTATGAAAGTATCATTCTTGACATAAACGCATTTCACTATGTAGTTTACTTATTTTTCATGTTAAATTGATTAGTTATTGACACATATGCGGCTAACTCTATCTAATAATAAATATTTAAAGTATGTAGGAGATCTTGAAACTTGTTGGATTGATAGATCTCAAGTTTAAAGTTGGCTTTAATAACTCATAACTAGATTTCAGATTCCAAAAACTTGGAAAGGTCCAAAGATTAGATTTTATGGTAGGGTGAAATTCCTATCCCTTCGCTGTAATATTTACGCGTCCCTAGTTTACACACTGACTTATTTACTCGGTAGTCTAACTTATTGCGCTAAACAATTAAATGTTCAAGGCAGATTTACCTTTGAGAGGTGCCAAGTTTCTCTAATCAATGTTTATGAATTGTTCTCAATCACCGAGGCTAGGGTTAGAATTCGAAAGACAACTAATGAAGTAACTATATTGTTAAAATATGTTTCGAGTTTAAGTCCATATACTATACCCGATCTGCACGTGGAGCATTTATTGCTCGTGTATACGTTGAAAAAAGAAGCACGTTTCACATGCTCATCAAATTTTCTGGTTGTGGGCGCCGAAGGATTTCTTTGGATGTTTTTTTCATGCATTAAAGAATGCACGTGATGGTTGACCAAAAAAAAAAAAAAAGGAATGCATGTGATGGCCATCTTCAAGGCCATGTACCCATGCATTAAATGAATGGAGGAAGAAAGCGAAAATGTGTGGGCTTCTTTTGTCCCTTTCCATTAACTCTCTTCAGAGCAGCCGCACAAAAGGGAAAGAATAGGTGGAGCTCCCATGTTACTTTCTATTGTTTTTTCAACCCGCTGAAGAGAGGAAGAAGACTTTCTCGTGCGGCAATAAATGATGGGAGGCTTCTTTTGGTTATAAATGGAAGAGTTATCTGAACGTTGAACGTGTCCTTGAACACCGAGAGAAGAGGGAGAGCTCTGAGACTGCACGGTTGTGCAGAGAGTCCTTCCAGCGGGGTTTTGTTAGCTGTAATTACACCCGAATAATTTAGC